AAGAGAAGTCGGGAAATAAAAAAGATGAGACAGCAACTTATTGAAAGTTTGTCTACACCACCTGAAAGCCCAACTGTAAATATTCCTATCGAAAATGAAATAGGCATAAATTTACTTCCTGGTCCCAGTCAGGAATCTAATTCCAGAAAAAGAAGCGGGCTAAAAGTTCGTAGAAAATATAGAGATGGGTTGAAGAAAAAAATCCAAAAATTAGAAGAAAAAAACAATTTGTTAAAGCAAAGAGGTGATAAATACAAACAAAAATTCTACAGACTGCGATATGAAAAAGATAATACTCCTCAAAAGGTGGTTAAAAAAATGACCAGTGGTACGAAATGTTTGAAGGAAGTAAAGAAAAGCTTGCTTTTTAGTGAAGTGCTAAAGACACAAATACAATCAAATTTTTCTACTGAGAGTTGTATAGCCAAAAAAAAGGATTTTGCCAGGATATTAAGCGGAAAGATAATAAAGAAGTACAGACTTCAAAGAAGCCTCAACAATCTTACTTCAAGATATATCTTAACATACAACTTAAATCAGCCCTCAAATGTACTGAAAAAGCAACAACTTGAAATGGAAGTTAGGAACTTTTTAGAAAACAGTTCCAGTAGGCTTACTGCTGGAAAAAAAGAAACAATAACAAGAAACAAAGTGAAAAAACAAAAAAGACTATTAAATGGTACAATAATGAATTTGTGGAATGAGTTCAAACAAACAACTGAGTTCAAGTCAATGTCTTATAGCACATTTTGCAAATTAAGACCCTTTTGGGTTGTTCAACCAGACTTTCGTAAACAAGATACTTGTCTATGTATTGACCATGAGAATTTTTCTTTGATTCTTGAAAAGTTGTATAGTCTTAAGATTTTGGCATATAAATATCCTACTGACTTGTTAAAAAGTATAACATGTGATGGCGAGCTGAGAGAATCATGCCTGGAAAGGAAATGCGGAGTATGCATTACTTACTGGAAAAGTTTATGAAACATGTATGCAATATAAAACACCAGGACAAAGCTACATCAGAAATAAAAAATAACTTAGGACCAAGGGATATTTTAATTCATTGTGACTTTTAAGAAAATTACAATTGCAAATACTCAAAAGAAATCCAACCACTCCACTTTGGCGGATCAAGAAACCAAGTGTCAATCTATACATTTATGGCATACTATTGTAGTATTTCTGAAAACAAAATAAAGGCAAAATCTTACTGTACAATTTCAGATAACAGGTGTCATAACTTAAAAGAAAAGCTGCTTGTCATTGAAACAGTTCATTTCCTTAGTGATAGTACTTCTCAATAGTACCGAAACAAGTCCATGTTCTATTTGGTTGGTACTTTTTTTCAAAAAGAGTTTGGAGCTAAAACTATAAGGTGGCATTTCACAGAAAAAGGGCACAGAAAAGGTGCCCCTGATGGAATAGGAGGTTGTATGAAAAGAACCGCAGACAGATTGATTGGACAAGGGAAAGCTATTCCTGATATTAATTATTTGGTTGAAGAAATAAAAGAAAAGTGTCTCTATGAGAAATGTGTACCAGAAAACCTAACAACTTTTAAGGGGACTTTACAAGTTCATGAGGTGGTTTGGAGTTCCACTAAAAAAGAAACATTGTATATGAGAAGGCTGACATGCACTATATATGACAATGACACAAAATGCAAACACTATAGTATTGGAGAAGTACTAATCCCTGTGAATTTTTTTACGTATCTTCATCCTCATAATGTCCTTTTAATGTATAGCTTTTAGAAACTTAAGTTTGCTTATATTGAATATTGTATTATATTGAACATAATATTGAATATTATATTTGCATATATTGAATATTGCAAACTTTTGCATTTCTTAAATGTTCTTTAGTTATTTAGTCAGTAAAAATGTTTGATTAATACTTAGTTTTTCATTTACTCTAGTATTTTCATTAAAGATTAAAATAAGCTGTGCATGAAATCTTTATTGTAAAATAGTTATTTAACTTGTTTCTGTTTCATTAATAATTTTTTGTGCCTCTGTTTTAAGAAATTCCTTAACATGGTTTAGCATGTGAACAATTCTTGAAAACGAAAAAAATGCCAGCTGAAGAAACAACATCCAAATGTTTGGCTTAAAAACCCCAAGGACCGGGTAAATGTAAAAAGAAATTGACAAGACTAAGTAACCACAGTGTTTACAGCCACAATGAGGAAAACAGCTTGTCTATTAAAATCAATGATTTTGTAATTGTCAAGTTTCAAACATCAAAAAAAAAAGTGAAATACTATGTTGGGCTAATTCAAACCTAAGGTGCAGATGAGTTTGTCATAAAGTTTTTGAGAAGATCTGGCCAGGAATTTTTTACGCTTCCAGAGAAAGATGACATCTCTGTCATTAATAAGAGTGATGTAGTGTTGAGATTGTGCCAGCCAAACCTCAATAACAGGGGGCAATATCGTTTTCCACAAGACTTACCACTCGAAAACATTTGCTAATTTACTCACTAGTAATACTTAAAATTTTGTAAAAACTTGTATCATGTACTATTTTATGTCAACTATTAAAAACTGCTGATTAAAGATGGTTATTATTTTTGTAAATTCCCTGACAGACACTTATAGCTGTTACAGCATAAAGCAATACTATTCATAATGTCACATCTGTGGTAAATTTGTCACGTCTGTGGATTATGCTAAAAATTTTTAATTTTTCTTTTGTAAACTGACTTTTAACGAGGTGTGCGGATACTTACAAATGATTAAATATACTTAGAGCTATAACAGCAAAAAATTTGGTTCAGAAATTTTAGTATTTAAATTTTATAAAAATATTTATTTAAAATTTTACTTTTCAGGAGAATGACCCATAAACTAAAAAATAAATGCAAGCTCTATGCTGATGATTGCAAAGTTTTCCACATAATCCACGATAACACTAATAATGATCTACAGGATGACATAAATTCTATTTTCAACTGGTGCAACACACACACACACACAAACACACACACAAATGCAAAAATGAATTATTTGGGTGAAAAACTATTACTGTACAAAACTTCAGGTGATCACCTTTTTTTATTACCACGTTTTTATTAGCTCGCTTTCTTGTTTGTTTGTTTGTCCGGGTTGAATTTTGCAACTCAATTTTAGCTCACTTTTTGATTAGCTAGAGCTCTGAAACTTTTACTATAGCTCAGAACCCGATGACAATGCAATATTATACTACTTTTACCATGACCGCAGCATAAAAACAAAATCAGTTGTTTACAAAATATAAAATTCTACCCATCAAAAACTAAAAAGAAGAAAATAATATAACAAATAAAAAAACTTTTTATAAAACCACGTTTTTGTAATGAACTAAAAAGTAGAAAATAATTTTCTCTTGTGGCTATAGAAATTTTTGAAAATTAATTGAGTCGATAGTAAGTGACATGATAGTATTTAAATTTTATAAAAATATTTATTGAAAATTAATATTTGTAAAATTTTTAACAAAAAAAATGGTGCGCATTTAACGAAAAAAAAGAACAGAAGACGGAAGCAATAGTTAAAGTAATTAAGGACGATGATGATCATTTAAAGTGACAAGATGTGCACCACGTTTTTCGTTTAAAATTTTACAAATATTATCGTAATTATTAAGAGTTCATAATCAAAAGTTTTCATGTCACTTACTATTGACTCAATTAATTTTCAAAAATTTCTATAGCCACAAGAGAAAATTATTTTCTACTTTTTAGTTCATTACAAAAATGTGGTTTTATAAAAAGTTTTTTTACTTGTTATATTATTTATAAAGTTATGACCTGTCAAAAATCAAAAAAAAAAAATTGTTACTGATTTTTTACCTATTTACTGAATTAACTTTGGAATGGATTAAAATCTGAAGGTGGTGAAATCTCTGGGTAGTAATAATGAGAACTTTTATAAAGTTTCTAAATTTTCATACAAAACAGAATATGAAATTTTTAATTTTTTAATTTTATTTTTGTGTTTCACTATAAAAAAAAACTTGTTTCTGAATTTAATCAATTCAAAAGCTTTGATGATTCAATTTCATGTAACTTTGATAACAATTTTTTTTACATCCCTCACACAAATTTTATAGGTTTAAAGAAGAAAGTTTAAAAAAATTTAAAGCATTATTATATTTATTTTATATTATATGTTTTTATATTTTATATTATATGTTTTTATATTTTGTACTATATGTTTTCATATTTTATATTATATGTTTTTATATTTTGTGTTTTAGTTTTTTTAGTTCAAAAATGTATTATTTTCAATATTAGTGGATTAATTTTATCAAAACTTTTTTAAAAACTGCAATATATAAAAATATAATATAAGAATGGAATGGAATTTACACTTAATAAAAAAATAGAATGAAAAATACACATAATAAAAGAATGAAATAGAATTTACACATAATAAAAGAATGGAACAGAAACTACACATTTGTCTTTTAAATTTCATTTCTCCTCCCTAAGGCCATAAAGGTTACTACACTTGAGGAGGCTACTTTTTAGTTGTGGTTATAACCCTCTCTCAAGGATCGTGTTTCAGAGTTGTAGATAACTCGGAAACACGACCCTTGAGAAACAAGGCCGCTATGCAGAGAAACAAGTTGAGTGGGGTACTACCAGGAATGTGCTGGAGATCGAACTTGGAACTTCTCAATTATGAGGTGAGCGCTCTACCACTACACCACATAAATACACATAATAAAAGAATGAAATAGAATTTACACATAATAAAAGAATAGAATGGAAATTGCACATAATAAAAAAATGCAATTGAAAAAACACAATAAAAAATTCAAATTTTAATTAATAGTGAGCTATCATTTTTTATTTGAATACAAAGTTTAATTTAGACAATTGATCAATTATCAATTGAATTTTTTTTTTCCCATTGATGTAAAATGCATTTAAAATTTAAATATTAATACAAAAACTTTTATAAATTTTTTAATATTTTTTTAAACTTAATACAAAAATTTTTAAAAAGTTACCTTTAATTTTCCATTGTCTAGCTCCAAAGTTAAAATTGGCCCATTATATAATAACTTTTTAGAATGTCTTAACTTTATTAGTCCACCCATAACATCAATTGGGTTTAATTTTATTTCAACTACAATTTTATTTGGAAGCAAATTAACATTTGCAGGAACAAAAAATTCAAAAATCCTGATATTTCCATTTAAATGACAACCTGATTGAATCTCAATGCCAGCTATATTTTCTCTAACTCCTTAAAAATAGTTTAAATGTGTATAAATAAAGGCAATTTAAATAAATAAAAAACACTTAAGTTACATAAAAAAATTTGAAATATTCAAAAATTCATTTATCAATAAAGCAAATTTCTAAAATTTTTTTCTAAACAAATTCAAAGCTGCTCTAAAATATAATGGATGTTAACCTGTATGTGTTTTTAAACATAAAAGTTCAATGATTAAACATTCAAGTGCATGATGGTATTCAAGTGCAAATGGAAAGATTAAACACATATAAAATTATTTACTGAATTATTCAAGGGATAACCACTGTAGTTTATAATACTTTTTTAATTTTCAATTGTTTTTTTTGTTGCATGTTTTGTTGTTGTTAACAAATGCTTTCAAATTTTTTGTTGTTTATAATAAATGCATTTAATTGTTTTGCTGTTTTTAATAAATTCTATCAACTGCGCATTAACTTTTTTTTTTTTCATCATCTTTGCTTCCAACAAGGCTGCAAGCAACCACTATTAGAGTTGAAAGTTACTGGAAAAGAAAAGATGAAGTTTATAGAGCAATTAACAATTGACAGATGACTTAAAAGATTGCAAATTGTATGAATCAGGAAAGCAAGATAAACAAAGGCAATTCAAAAGAACTGATGTTTGAGAAAAAAAACTAGACAAATAAGAGTTTTTGCACCTTGTCTAAAAGAGAAAGGGCATGATTGGAAGATCCATCCCAGATATGGCAACAGTATCCCATACAAGGACAGATTTGAGATTTATAGAGATAAAGAAAGAAACCCAGAGTAAGAAAGTGTCGAGCACGATAAAGAGATGCAACCTTAACAGATGCTAAATCAGACTTTTAAATATTTAGTGATAAACTATTTGTATATAGTAATTTAATATTCAACTGTACATATTTTTTTTGAGTTTAAATTACCTCATTGGCCAAGATACGAGTTTCTGAGCAAATCGTTGTTGATCAAATGCATATTGATTTGAATATGGTATGTGTATTCTGTGTGCGTATGATATATAGAGGGTTGTTTTGCTGAAACAAAAGTATTTTTCAAAATGTTAGGATATTTGCATTCACTTAACATTCATTTATACAGATTTTATGAAAACCAATGCATAAACCTAAATTGTAGATATTGTAGATTATTTGAACAACAAAATTATTTATATGTATTTAATTAATTGTATTTTCATCACTGAGTTCATGCTAAGAGTATATATTTAACATTAAGTGTCATTTTTATGTCAAGTATGCCTTTTATCACTAAGTATATTTGTTTTTATATATATATATATATGTTGTATGATTCGTATGTATTTCTGACACTAAGTTTTTATGGTAGTGTGTATTTTTATCAATAGGTGTCACTTTTATGTAAAGTGTGTAATTTCATTACTAAGTGTAAATTTTATGTTAAGTGTGCATTTTAATCAAAAAGTTTAGTTATCATGCTAAAGTATCTTAATGACACGCTGACTGCTTTTTTGGAAATTTATTAAGGATTAATTACTCCTAGTTGCTGCATAAATATATTGAGATTTCATTTTTTTTTTATATTTTGCTTTAATTTCATTTCATGCAACTTTTCTTCTCCACTGTGTTAAGTTCTCAATTAAGTTCTCAATTAAGTTCTTAATTCAAATTTTTTTTAGAAGTTTCTTAAGAAAATGTTTTTCAAGTACTTACAGGATTAAATAAAAAAGTTCGAAAATTTGATTAAAAACTAAAATAAAAGTTGAAAGCTTGAAATTTTTTATATTTTCTAGTAGCTTTTTATTTAACACTGTTTGCTCAAAGTACTTTTTTTTTAGCAAATTCCCAAAAAAATCTTAATATTGGATTAGCTTAATCGACAATTTTAATTTTCTATTGTGTAATCAATAAGCTTTCATTGCTTAACTACCTAATTGGAGATGGTTGGGTCCTCATTGGAGATTGTGGTTGATATAAACTTGTATCAGAAGTGAGTGATTTTTTATCATTAAAAAAAAAAAAATTGTTAAATTAAACTTATAATAACATAAACCAAAAAACAGAGACTAAATTTATTAGTGATCCTTGGTTATTAAAAAAATTAAAAAAGTAAATAACGTATTAAAAAAGTATTAACCAATCTTATAAATTTGTAGAACTTTGACTGTTTAATGTTTTAGGTATTACTTATATAAAATTGCCTTTTTTAGTTAATTTATGTTGTTGTTTTTATCTACAAAAATAATGTTTCGTCATCTGTCTTGTTTTGCTATATTTTTTATAAGCAAATAACAAGATAAGCAACAAAAAACACTAGTTCCCCCCCCCCCCCCCCCCAAATTGCTATTTAAAACTTTTTTTTCAGAAATTTTATTGAAAAAAAAACAATTACAAAATACATTTCAATCAACAAGCATTACTTGAAATATCAAGAAAATGTGGTATATCAAGATACAATCCAAAAGACAAATAGAAAAATGGCCTTCATTAAAGCTTCAGGCTAGGCGAATCCAGTCAAAAAAATTATATAACAACAAATGAGAGAAAGTCTTTCTTTGTATTTTACCAGCAAGTTGAAAGAGATGAGAATAAATTTAGCAACAATTACTGTTTGACAAAGCTTGCATAAATTATTCAAAGCTAGCATAAGTTTAGCATTAATAGCAGTAGGCCAGCTCAAAAGCCATAACTAAACAATCAACTCAGAAAAAACAGATTGATTAGGCTAAGAATCATTAATTTCAGTTCACATCATGTTAGTTGATGTGAACTTAAATTAATAAATTTGGCAAGTAATCTTAATAATTTATTCATATTAGTTTGTTATGTTTTCTCTAAGTTTCTAGGCAAAGAGTCTGCTATAAAAATTATAAGTCAAAATGTCAAAAAAGATTCAATAAAAAATCCCATCAAGATTGTGTAATCCAGACAGTCAAACATCCTCCTAAAATGAATAGTTAAAATGATTCATTGTATATTGTCAATGGAATAATGAAACAGGACAACTACAAAATCATCATTGAAACTTTTATTTGTCTTAATTGAAGAAATGGTTTTCAAATAATATATTTATGAAAGATAGCAAATAGCAAAATCTGTTTAAAAACAAGCAAAAAAAAAAAAGCAAAATTTATTTAAAAACTGGTAAAAAAAAAAAAGGCTTCAAAAAAATTCTTTTTTGAATTGGCTAGAAAATTCATCAAATTTAAACTTCATAGAAAATGCATGAAAGTTATTACAGAAAGAAAATTTTATGAAAAATGTTGCAAATAATAAATAAATAAGACCAATTTATTTAAAAAGTTATTTAGTACCATAATACACCATTATTTGGAACCATATTTTGAATGACACATTTGAAAGAAATAGCTTAAAAACACAAAACATAAAACCACATTTGAATGAAGCAGCTTTAAATTGAATTTATAATATGTAAAATTTGTTTATTTTTTTGTTATTTAATTATGTTAATTTATGCAAATTGCTCAATAAAAACAAGTTCAAAAAATATTTATTTTAATTTATGTTAATAAGTATATTCTTATTATGATTGTGTGTATTTTATGTCATAAAATTTTATATAAATTTAAAGTTTATATATGAATTTTACTAGTAGAAAAACATAAACTACAAAAAATATTAAAAAGTTGGCTAATAATTTGATATGAAGGGCATAATATAAAACAATGGTATCTCATAAACTAAATAAACTTCATGACCTAGCAAATGTTATTTAATTATGTTAATTTATGCAAATTGCTCAATAAAAACAAGTTCAAAAAATATTTATTTTAATTTATGTTAATAAGTATATTCTTATTATGATTGTGTGTATTTTATGTCATAAAATTTTATATAAATTTAAAGTTTATATATGAATTTTACTAGTAGAAAAACATAAACTACAAAAAATATTAAAAAGTGGGCTAATAATTTGATATGAAGGGCATAATATAAAACAATGGTATGTCATAAACTAAATAAACTTCATGACCTAGCAAATGGAATTTATAACCTAGCAGTTTTTGAATTCTATAATCTTTATTGCTTAAATATGCAAAAAAGACTTAATTAAAAAAAAAAATTAAAAAACTACAAACCATCTTCATTGCCTGTAATTGTTAATTGCAATCCATTTGGAAATATTGAAGTTAACAAGTATTTAGGTATACTTGCATTCGGATATATGGCGTTTATTAATACTGGCAATGTTAAGTCAGATTTATATGCAATGATAAAATGATACCATGGTAAAATTGGGTTTATATTTATTATAGCATTATCAAATGTAATCATGTGATCCTCACTTCCATCCATTGCTAAAACACCCAATTTTAATTCAACAAGAATTTCTAAAAAAAAAAATTTGTCACAAATAGTATTGTTTTAAATTTCATCAATCAAGAGTTCAACACATTAAATCTGGCGTACATAAAGTAAATAGACAAGAATATTTTTTTCATCACAATCTGTTCATTAAGTAATTAGGAAAAAAACATTTTTTTACATTAAAATTTTTGTCAAACTTAAAAAAGCACAAAATTGAGTTATAAAAGCTACTCTTTTAATTATGCTTACTAAACATAAGCAACTTTGATCACATTAACTTTTAATTATGCTTACTAAACATAAGCAACTTTGATCACATTAACTTTTAATTATGCTTACTAAACATAAGCAACTTTGATCACATTAACTTTTAATTATGCTTACTAAACATAAGCAACTTTGATCACATTAACTTTTAATTATGCTTACTAAACATAAGCAACTTTGATCACATTAACTTTTAATTATGCTTACTAAACATAAGCAACTTTGATCACATTAACTTTTAATTATGCTTACTAAACATAAGCAACTTTGATCACATTAACTTTTAATTATGCTTACTAAACATAAGCAACTTTGATCACATTAACTTTTAATTATGCTTACTAAACATAAGCAACTTTGATCACATTAACTTTTAATTATGCTTACTAAACATAAGCAACTTTGATCACATTAACTTTTAATTATGCTTACTAAACATAAGCAACTTTGATCACATTAACTTTTAATTATGCTTACTAAACATAAGCAACTTTGATCACATTAACTTTTAATTATGCTTACTAAACATAAGCAACTTTGATCACATTAACTTTTAATTATGCTTACTAAACATAAGCAACTTTGATCACATTAACTTTTAATTATGCTTACTAAACATAAGCAACTTTGATCACATTAACTTTTAATTATGCTTACTAAACATAAGCAACTTTGATCACATTAACTTTTAATTATGCTTACTAAACATAAGCAACTTTGATCACATTAACTTTTAATTATGCTTACTAAACATAAGCAACTTTGATCACATTAACTTTTAATTATGCTTACTAAACATAAGCAACTTTGATCACATTAACTTTTAATTATGCTTACTAAACATAAGCAACTTTGATCACATTAACTTTTAATTATGCTTACTAAACATAAGCAACTTTGATCACATTAACTTTTAATTATGCTTACTAAACATAAGCAACTTTGATCACATTAACTTTTAATTATGCTTACTAAACATAAGCAATTTTGATCACATTAACTTTTAATTATGCTTACTAAACATAAGCAACTTTGATCACATTAACTTTTAATTATGCTTACTAAACATAAGCAATTTTGATCACATTAACTTTTAATTATGCTTACTAAACATAAGCAATTTTGATCACATTAACTTTTAATTATGCTTACTAAACATAAGCAATTTTGATCACATTAACTTTTAATTATGCTTACTAAACATAAGCAACTTTGATCACATTAACTTTTAATTATGCTTACTAAACATAAGCAACTTTGATCACATTAACTTTTAATTATGCTTACTAAACATAAGCAACTTTGATCACATTAACTTTTAATTATGCTTACTAAACATAAGCAACTTTGATCACATTAACTTTTAATTATGCTTACTAAACATAAGCAATTTTGATCACATTAACTTTTAATTATGCTTACTAAACATAAGCAACTTTGATCACATTAACTTTTAATTATGCTTACTAAACATAAGCAACTTTGATCACATTAACTTTTAATTATGCTTACTAAACATAAGCAACTTTGATCACATTAACTTTTAATTATGCTTACTAAACATAAGCAACTTTGATCACATTAACTTTTAATTATGCTTACTAAACATAAGCAACTTTGATCACATTAACTTTTAATTATGCTTACTAAACATAAGCAATTTTGATCACATTAACTTTTAATTATGCTTACTAAACATAAGCAACTTTGATCACATTAACTTTTAATTATGCTTACTAAACATAAGCAATTTTGATCACATTAACTTTTAATTATGCTTACTAAACATAAGCAACTTTGATCACATTAACTTTTAATTATGCTTACTAAACATAAGCAACTTTGATCACATTAACTTTTAATTATGCTTACTAAACATAAGCAACTTTGATCACATTAACTTTTAATTATGCTTACTAAACATAAGCAACTTTGATCACATTAACTTTTAATTATGCTTACTAAACATAAGCAACTTTGATCACATTAACTTTTAATTATGCTTACTAAACATAAGCAATTTTGATCACATTAACTTTTAATTATGCTTACTAAACATAAGCAACTTTGATCACATTAACTTTTAATTATGCTTACTAAACATAAGCAATTTTGATCACATTAACTTTTAATTATGCTTACTAAACATAAGCAACTTTGATCACATTAACTTTTAATTATGCTTACTAAACATAAGCAATTTTGATCACATTAACTTTTAATTATGCTTACTAAACATAAGCAATTTTGATCACATTAACTTTTAATTATGCTTACTAAACATAAGCAATTTTGATCACATTAACTTTTAATTATGCTTACTAAACATAAGCAACTTTGATCACATTAACTTTTAATTATGCTTACTAAACATAAGCAATTTTGATCACATTAACTTTTAATTATGCTTACTAAACATAAGCAACTTTGATCACATTAACTTTTAATTATGCTTACTAAACATAAGCAATTTTGATCACATTAACTTTTAATTATGCTTACTAAACATAAGCAACTTTGATCACATTAACTTTTAATTATGCTTACTAAACATAAGCAACTTTGATCACATTAACTTTTAATTATGCTTACTAAACATAAGCAACTTTGATCACATTAACTTTTAATTATGCTTACTAAACATAAGCAATTTTGATCACATTAACTTTTAATTATGCTTACTAAACATAAGCAACTTTGATCACATTAACTTTTAATTATGCTTACTAAACATAAGCAATTTTGATCACATTAACTTTTAATTATGCTTACTAAACATAAGCAACTTTGATCACATTAACTTTTAATTATGCTTACTAAACATAAGCAATTTTGATCACATTAACTTTTAATTATGCTTACTAAACATAAGCAATTTTGATCACATTAACTTTTAATTATGCTTACTAAACATAAGCAATTTTGATCACATTAACTTTTAATTATGCTTACTAAACATAAGCAACTTTGATCACATTAACTTTTAATTATGCTTACTAAACATAAGCAATTTTGATCACATTAACTTTTAATTATGCTTACTAAACATAAGCAACTTTGATCACATTAACTTTTAATTATGCTTACTAAACATAAGCAATTTTGATCACATTAACTTTTAATTATGCTTACTAAACATAAGCAACTTTGATCACATTAACTTTTAATTATGCTTACTAAACATAAGCAACTTTGATCACATTAACTTTTAATTATGCTTACTAAACATAAGCAACTTTGATCACATTAACTTTTAATTATGCTTACTAAACATAAGCAATTTTGATCACATTAACTTTTAATTATGCTTACTAAACATAAGCAACTTTGATCACATTAACTTTTAATTATGCTTACTAAACATAAGCAATTTTGATCACATTAACTTTTAATTATGCTTACTAAACATAAGCAACTTTGATCACATTAACTTTTAATTATGCTTACTAAACATAAGCAACTTTGATCACATTAACTTTTAATTATGCTTACTAAACATAAGCAACTTTGATCACATTAACTTTTAATTATGCTTACTAAACATAAGCAACTTTGATCACATTAACTTTTAATTATGCTTACTAAACATAAGCAACTTTGATCACATTAACTTTTAATTATGCTTACTAAATATAAGCAACTTTGATCACATTAACTTTAATACAAGTACTTATCTTACCTCAAATGTTTTTTGGTTTTTTATTCATTTAAAATAACATTGACATGATTTACTTTGATTAAAATTTATTTTACTAGAATGCCAGTAATTTAAAGAGACTTAAAAAAAAGAACTTGTTATACAAATTGTGTGTAAAAAAAAAACCGTGTAACAGACACAGACGATAAAAATATTAAAAACTGTGTAACCATGATAAATATGATGTTGTATCTCTATATAGTTAACATTATTTTTTCTTATAAAAAATATTAAAATATAACCTTACCCAAAAATATTATATAACCATTTTGGAAAATTAAACTTCTTGGAAAATTTGCGTATTTTGCATGAATATTTTGATATAAAAACTTGCCTATACCAAAACCTACATCCACCTTTTGTTTAGGTATAAAACTTGCATCAAATTTAAGTCTTCCACTAGATTGTAAACTGACAATTCCTTAAAACAAGGTTAAAAAATTTAAATTATAAAAACAAAAGTCTTAAATTATAAAAACAAAAAAAGTCAAAATATCGACTATCCATTTTCAATATAAAATATTGAAATACACAAAAAATAATGTTTAATATTTATAGGGTAAAGTGAAACTTTACCTGTTGCTGAGAATGGTAAAGGAAGTTTGATATTTACACTAACTGTAACATAAATTCCTAACTCATCTGTTGTTATTTCATTGTATGAAACCACTAATGCTGATATTTGTACATCCATATTTTCATTTTTCATTCTACCATCATGAATATGAAGCGGTGCTTCCAAATAGATATTTTTCTTTGAAAAAAAACCTGTAATTTTTTTCATAACTTGTTTCCATCAAATATTTAACAAATATTTATCAAAAATTATAAATATGGGTAAATAAAAATATTCAAAAAACAAAAAATAAAAAACGACCCAAGGTTAAGTTATACAACAATGAATAGTGATCTAAATGTTTATCTTTATCAAAAGAATTTAAAAGAATTTATCTTTAAGTAAAGACTTTAATCTCAAAATTCATAACAAAATATGTTAAAAGATTTTGGCCTGAATATTTATAACATTTAATAATTACTATTTATACATTTAGATATAAAATAGCAAGAATAAAAAAAATTCATTTATTCAAGTGATATTCAAGTGGGAATATTCTATTTTCAGAACTATTTGCCTTAAAGGAAAAAAAAAAGTTTTTAAATTTCTACTTTTTATTTTTTGAAATGAATACATAAATGAGTTAAGTTGTGATTAAGTTTCAAATACTAAATTTAAATGAGCAATTGAAACTTAAAAATAATAATTAATATTTATAAATTTTAAAACCTACCAGTTAAAATAATTTTTTCCTCGCCAATAACTTCTTTAAGCCATTCACACAAGCCATTATTTTTGCAACATTCAAGTGGCATAGAAGTTAGAGAAGCTGTAATACCTACATAAAAATTGAAACCTATAAGTTTAACAAACCTTCAAAAAATTCATTTTTTATAAAAACTTAAATTGTTACCTTTTTTTATCTTTACAGAAGATAAATCTTCTAATGTTTTTTCACCTAAATATGTATACAGATGCATAAGAGATATGTTCTATTTAATAGGTAAACAGAGTGCATCTATTAAATAGAACAAAAATATTGTCTCTTTATCTCTCTGTAATAAGTGTATAAATATATATATATATATATATATATATATACATATATATATATATATATATATATATATATATATATATATATATATATATATATATATATATATATATATATATATATATATATATATATATATATATATACACTTATTACAGAGAGATAAAAAGACAATATTTTTGTTCGCAACGGAGTGCTGCTACATCGACTGACAAATAGCCTGACTCGCAAGGGAGTGCTGCTACATTGACTGAGGGTTTGGTTCAGGCAGGCAGTCTATCATTAAAAAAAAAAATGAATAATGAATAAAAAGGTTGCTGACCCATACCAAACCCTCAGTCGATGTAGCAGCACTCCACTGCGAGTCAGGCTATTTGTCAGTCGATGTATGTACTGAAGCCCCCGGCAGCAGGGTATTTGACATTAGGTGAGTATGACATCATCATGCTCACCTAACTCAGCAGTATAAGATATATGTACATATATATATATATATATATATATATATTATATATATATATATATATATATATATATATATATATATATATAATTAGTTATGACAAAATAGGAAATTATTTAACAAAAGGTTAGCGACTAATAAAATGGTAACTATAATGTAAAAAGTGATATTTTAAAATGGTTTAAATTACTCAATAAAGATGTTACTATTAGTAAGGAAATAACTTCAGAACTTTTTAAGTAAATTAAAAAATAAAGGTTTTTTTGATGGTGTAATATATAACAAACTTTATCCTTTTGGTTTACAACCCGCTTGTTTTTACGGTCTCCCAAAAATGCAGAAATTATATCCTCAAAATCTGAATTTAAGTCTTAGATCTATCATTTTGTCAATCTGCACATTCAACTATCAATTAGCTAAGTTTTAAAGAGATTTACTGCTCTCTATAATACCTTCAAAGTTTTTTACAAAAGCTTCATTCAGTTTCATAAAAGATGTGAATTAAGCTAACATTCATGGAAAATACTTAGTATCTTACAACGTTATAAGCCTATATACACTAATGTACCTCTTTGAAAAAATGTTGATATTGCTGTTAATTCAATTTTAAGCAGAAATGATAATTTTAAAATTAACAAAACCAATTTAAAGAAACTCTTCATCTTTGCAACATTGCAATCTAGCATGCAATTTTCAATTTAAAAAGACTAAACAGATGATGCTGCTATGGGAACTAGCTCCTGTTCTTGCTAATTTATTTATGGGTTATTTTGAAGAAACATGGCTAAAATTATACAATGGAGTCAAGCCAGTATATCAGTATATAAATATCACTTTTTACATAATAGTTACCATTTAATTAGTTGTTAACCTTTTGTTACATAAATTAATGTCTTTTTTATCATATTTTTTGCTATTGCTTTTTTTGTTGCAATTAATTTAAAAAATTATAATTTATATTTTATTACCATAGAATTTTGTATATAAATATATAATATAGTATATAAAATTAAACAAGTTTTATTTTTTTTCAAATATGAAATAATCAAAACATGGGTATATATATGTTATTTTATTTGTTAAAAAAAAATTATTTTTATTTATAATTGAAAAAATTTGTCTTTTTCTCAACTGTTTCATTTATCTTCTGTAAAAAAGAAATTTTGGAAACATATATGTTTTAAATATTGTTTCTTTGATTAAAAATCTGTGCAAAATCTTAGGTGTTTTGAATAATATTTAGAAGTTGCTCAAGGAAAATAAAAATTTACTGTGTTAAAAGCATGCGCCGCAACAACAATGTTTAAAAAACTTGAGTTATAGCTATGATAAACAACTATCCATTTTCAAAAAATTCTTTAAATAATGCAAATAACATTCAAATGTTGCACTATTTACAAGATCAAAAGTTTAGTCTGTACCAATATATATGTCATCAAGATGCTGTTGAAGCAATCTGGAATGCGTTTCAGATTCAGTTTTTGTGATGGATTGATTAAATGTGCTTATAAGAGCAACAGAATGCTCAGCAGTGTCAATGATAACTTTCACAGATTTAACAATTGCTTTAGTATAACAAAATTCAGCAATTTCCTCCTAGGTCTTTAGATCAGTTCCAGATAAAATGGTTACATTGAGACCAAGTGACTGTAAATCAGGAGTTGATGATGATGTAACAAGCTTATGAAGTTGCTTCTTTTCCAACTTGTTTAATTCTGCTGCTGGATACTTTATATCCCTGACACTTCAATCAGCTCTACTTTGAGTCATAGCTTCAACAATCAACTTTTTTTCTGTGTCACAAACCCTGTCAGAAAATAATGAAAGTGAAATCATTTCTGACCCAAGGTACCAAGTGTGATTTTGAAGCTTCTTCATAGCAGCACTTGAAATGACCTTGTTGATCTCAGAATATTGTTTAATTTTTGTGAAGAGCATCAGGTCATTTGCTGAAGCATCACACAGGCAATCCATGCTGGTACATAGATATGAGCAGCAACGATACAAAATTTGCACAAGTTATTCTGTTCTTTCATAGTCAGCTTGAATTCATTTCTTAAGAGGTATATCTTCATACAATAGATGACTTTAGCCATCCATCTAGCCATGTGATAAGCTCCCAGCATGCGAAAGCGATACTTCTTGGTGGCATAGTCTGATAACGGAAAACACAAAATTAAAAGGCACAGCTCGATCATCTCTTTGTAGTCTTCTCTTGGTAAGTGCGAAGAGTCATCTGATAAGAAAAGCTGCAGAAAGGAGCCAGCCTCAGATCTAAGTTGCTGAAGCTACGGTTCAGCAAGATGGGCGTCATCTTATGGAGCATAATTGGCTTGATTTATGCATAGCCAACACTTCTGAAATTGTTCAAATAAAGCTACGTTGGGCCCACTGCTGGGTCCAAGCAAAACTGAGTATATTTCCCCAATAATTACTTCATGTATATGGTGACGGCAAGCAAAGTAGAGAAGATTTTTCTCCATCAACTTCTCTAGCAAGATGCACGCACCATTTTTAAAACCCATGTTTGACGCTGTTGCATCAAAACACATACCACCAATACAATTTGCATTATAATTTGGTGCCAGTCCAGTGCCAATGATATCTTTACAATACCCAGTATTTTCTCCAGATTATGACCAGTCACATCAACAGCAATTCTATCAACATTGGACTTTCGATTTTCATAGTTGGTGCTGTCTCTCATCATCTTACCATTCCAGTGGACGACCATATGTTGTTTCTCACTTGACATAAATTTCTTCTGAATATGATTTTCAGTTGATGAACGGTGCATGATGCGTTTGCAGCGGATTGTCAATCTTGATAATGGTGTACTTTGAAGGTCCTCTCCACTTGCTCTAGCAATTACAGCTGCCAATATAGTAAATTTTTGGTCAGATAAATTAATTCGATCAAGTGTGGATGATACATCTGGAGAAGACAAAATTTCATTGAAAATATGTGGCTTTTTATTTTTAGGATTTTGTTCACAGTCAGTTGATTGGGTTACTAGTTTTTTGTGATAAACCTGAATATTTATTTCATAATCATCATTGTCATCAGAAATGTCACTGACTTCTGTTGCTTTGCTATCACCATCACAATCAAGGCTAAAGTGGTTACAGCTTGGGGTAAGGACAGCATTTGCTTGTTGTCTTCTCTCTTTCTCATTCTGCTTTCTTTTTATTTCTGCTTGTTGACGCTCTGCTGTTCGCTTTTCTTGTTGAAATAATTTTACATCTTCTCCAGCCATTTTCATCATACGAGCATTCTTTTGGTCTTCCAGAAATATTTTATCTTCATCAATTTTAATTAGCTTGTTTGCATCCTTGTGTGAAATGTCAAACAGTAAATCTAATTTGATACTAAAATCTTTCTCTCTAGCAACCTGTGACTTACTAGCTCTTCCTTTATTATTTTTAATTAAATTATATTCATTAACACGCTTTTTAATTAAATTATATTCATTAAAGCTTTCACTTTTGATACAATATGAAGCTGGTAAGTCATTTGAATTCTGGCTTTTTATATACAAAAGCAACATCTAATGTTTTAGCTCACATCTTTCCAGATGTGAGCTAAACCATTAGATGTTGCTTTGCCAACATCTAATGGTTTAGCTCAACTTTTTAGCCAAATTAATATATTTCCATTAATTCCGTACCACTCTAACCTTTATTAAAAGAATTACGTGATCAATAGTATCTAAAGCTTTCATCAAGTCAATAAAAACACCTTAAGTAAATTCCCTAAAGTTAAATTCCATAGAAGCCAGGAAAACAGTCACATTCAAAATTTCACCAAGAATTGTCAGTCATTTAGCTTTCTCAGAATTTATTCACTTATGGAGTTCTAAATATTTACCAGTGGAGTTGATAAGACAAATTTAGGCCTCTTTCCAATCACTGTAGAACCTTTAGTGAAATGGGCTGCATTGATGGTGCTTCACACAACTTATGAGTTTCCTCCGTTGATCTATAGCTTCTCAGTTTCAACAAAGAAGGGACAATTAGCCGCTTTTGAATACTGCTTTTGTACTGGAGATCTCTTTAAAAAAATTACATCCGAATCTTTTTGACTCAAAATAACTGCCCGCAAAGAAGGGTTTGCATTAATTATTGCCAAGTTAAGTTGAACCAGACTCTAATGATTTCTGACTCTAATGATTTGCTTTGAAATTTATTAAGCTCAGCTTGAGGAAAATTGTTCAAGCCCCCACTGATCCACAGTCCTTCGAATAACATATTGAGTGCAGTAAATTACCCATATTAAGTGCAGCCAAGATGCAAAAACTCAAATATTTGATAACTGGCAGGGTTCTGGTAGAGTCAAGGCCGCTTATTTGTCTGAAAAATGCAATGCTATGATTCTCTCATTTTCCTCAACAGCAAATATTACTTAAAAAAAACAGCACTTTTATTGTGAAATCGACCACAACTGTCTCATTCGCTTCAACTTCTTTAACAACCGTATAGTTAAAGAAGTTGAAGCGAACCCATCGAACGCACTACCTATTGAAGTTTTCAGTGCTATCTGCGTCAACTTCTTCAAATCAAAATTTGATGAGTTACCATTATTATAACCACTGCACATAATTATTGCTAAATAGCATTGCTAAATGTTCATGGGCTTACGGAACACACCCGCTTCTGTCTAATTCGACAAAAGCTAAATCCTGTTATTTTGGTAAAAATTAGTTTATAACTAGTTATAAGAATAGAATTTAAAACTTAAATTATTTTTTTCATGTGCAATTTATTCCAAATACTAAAGTTTCAATCTCAAATGCAAAAACGAAGCAGATTTAAGATTGTCAGTCATTAAAATGTTTTCTATTTATTCTATTAAAAAAAAAACGTATTGTCCGGCGCCCCTTCAAGCTTGGCGCCCGAGTCAATTTGCCCCCTTTGCCCCTCCCTCTCAAAGACCCTGTATATATATATATATATATATATATATATATATATATATATATATATATATATATAACACATATATATATATATATATATATACATGAATATATGAATTTATATATATATATATATATATATATATATATATATACATATACATGTATAAATGAATATATAATATATGAATAATATGAATACATATATATATATATATATATATATATATATATATATATATATATATATATATATATATATATATATATATATATATATATATATATATACATGTACATATATATACATATATATATATATACATGTATATATATACATATATATATATATATATATATATATATATATATATATATATATATATATATATACATATACATGTGTGTGTATATATGTATATATATATATATATATATATATATATATATATATATATATATATATATATATATATATATATATATACACACACTCCTGTTATTTGAAAAGGTATGCAAATTAGTAAGAACTTTTATTTTGCATTATCTCAATTTTATAATAGGAAAAGAATCTATAAAAATAGCAAGACAATAGTCTACCTATGTTTAAAAACCAAAATTTTTTTTTTTTTTTTTTTTTTTTTTTTTTTTTTTTTTTATTATCTTCACTTCCAACAAGGCTGCAAGCAACCACTATAAGAGTTGGAAGTTACTGGAAGAGAAAAGACTAAATCTGTAGAGCAAGATAACGATTGACTGATGACTTAAAAGATTGCAAATTATATGAATCAGGAAAGCAAGATGAAGGAAGCGAATTCCAAAGAACTGATGTATCATGACAAGAGTAAATGGTAGTGTCGTCAGCGAATAATGCCACCTTAGATGTGAGAATATCTGGAAGATCGTTAATGTAAATTAAAAAGAATATAGGGCCAAGGATTGAACCTTGAGGAACCCCTGAAGTTACAGGATGTGAAGAAGAGTGTTGTCCATCGAGGACAACTTTTATACTACGATTGGAAAGAAAGGACTCAATAATCTTAAAGACGTTACCAGCTACACCATAAGAAGAAAGCTTATGGAGAAGACCAGCATGCCAAACTTTATCAAAAGCTTTAGAAATGCGATAAGCTTTATCAAGTGCGATAGCCTTAACCTCTCCACCTCTATCTAATGCACGGTAAAACCTATCGGTTATTACTGTTAGCACATCAGCTGTAGAACGAGAAGACCGAAATCCATATTGATGGTCAGAAAGTAAGTGATTATTGATGACCATATTGATGGTCAGAAAGTAAAATGATTAACAAATGGAAAAAATAAAAAAGAATTTAATAGGTATTTTTTAAAATCAATAATCCTTATATGTATTTCAGCTGAAATGAGAAAATTATTAATTACTTTTCAACCTTTCTTATCTTTAATTAACTAAATGCTAAATCTTAACAACAATCCTTTTCAACCATAATCAAAGTCAGATAGCATTCTCAATTATTTACATACTGACTCTAACCACCCTCCAAGCCTCAACCCTCCACCCTCCACCCTCCAAGCATATATGTATAACCTTAAAGCAGGTATGTATAAATATATGTTTACTTGTGTGTATTAACTTCAATGAACAAAAAAGCTACCGTGTTGCAAATAATAAAAAAAAAGCTACCGTGTTGCAAATAATAAAAAAAAAGCTACGATGTTGCAAATAATAAAAAAAAAAGCTACCGTGTTGCAAATAATCAGTTGCAGATTTTAAAACTTTTTCTTTTTTCCAGTTCTAAAAATATTTTTTATATTAAATTTATTCTTACTATTACCTACTTTATTTTTTTTTTGCTGTTCTAAATACTAAATAATTATAATTATTAAATACTAAATAATTATAATTAATAAATATTAAATAGAAAGGAATAAGTAGTAGTAAGAATGATACCAAATAATTTAAAATTTATTGATTTAACTTTTCTGTATTATCAGTTATATCAGTATTATCAGAAAACATCTTGTCATATGTGTATACAAGACAAGTTATCCCACCCCCCCACCCGCGTCAAAAAACAAAATTAAAAAACAACAACAACAACAATAACATAGTTACAAATATTTATTAAAAGAAAACGTTTTGTGAAAATAAAGCAAATAAAAATAAAATAACAGCAATTCATTCAAAAGTTCACAAAAACTTTTTAATTGTCTTTTACTCAAAATATTAGTACAATTATTAGTTTTAAGGTCTTAGTTTTATTTATCTATCTTTATTTAGTTTTATTTATCTTACTACTAATTCCATTTTATGGTTTTTTTTTAATTAAAAATCAGTAAAGATAGGAAAGTCTAAGCTGCTAAGACTAAAGCACAGTTTAAGTGAAAAATGTTGAAAAAGTTGATAAAAAAGTATTTTTTTCCTGCTGACTTTTTATCTATTTTATTGATGATCTATTTTCACTTAATATTTATACCCTTACTTTGCTCCAATTTTATTTTAGTTTAGTTTCGTTGTAGTAACTCACTTTGAACCGCATTTTTTAAATCTTGAAGAGTCTGTTTTAGTCCTTGAAAGACAACTTTTTTAAGAAAAGTTTAAAAAATAATTAGAAAAACAATTTTGACTTCAGAAATTGAAATTTTTTAATGAAATAGTTCAAAAAATAATTAGAAAAACAATTTTGACTTCAGAAATTGAAATTTTTTAATGAAATAGTTCAAAAAATAATTAGAAAAACAATTTTGACTTCAGAAATTGAAATTTTTTAATGAAATAGTTCAAAAAATAATTAGAAAGACAATTTTGACTTCAGAAATTGAAATTTTTTAATGAAATAGTTAAAACTCATAAAAATTTTAGTAGTACTGTAGGATTATGTAGTTATAAATTTTAACTTTTTAATTAGTTATTTAAACAGTTAATGATTCAATTTAAACAGTTAATGATTCAATTTAAACAGTTAATGATTCAATTTAAACAGTTAATGATTCAATTTAAACACTTAATGATTCAATTTAAACACTTAATGATTCAATTTAAACAGTTAATGATTCAATTTAAAATAACTAATCATTAAGGTCGTTAAAGCTGTATTGTGAAAACATTAAATTGACATAGGTAGCTCAAAATTATTGATAAAAAAATCATTTTTTAAAAGCAACCAATTGATGAACCGATTTCAAGATTTACAGCATTAAATGGATTAAGTTTTAATGCCATTTTATCAGCTCTTTCACTTGATTGATGCCTAAAAATGATTATAATTTAAAAAAAATTAAAATGCATAAGTACACTTCTTTAAAAACTTGAGGAATCTGGAACCTGGCAGGAATACACTTAACTGATTAAGAAGAACTATCTGCCATATTTTATTTGTTGAGTAGTTTTCTCAACAAATCCAATACAACATATTCAAAGAAGCAAGAATAAAATAAGATAATTAGAATGAAATCAATAGCAATGAATCTGAATCTGACTCTGAAGTTTGTTTTCTAGTTGCCATTGATGAAAACAATTCTATTCCAAAAGAAAAAAATGCACTTGCAATCTGCCATAACAAAAGTCTGAAAAATAGTTGTATTATTTCAAGAATTTATTCAAAGTCAAAAATGAACCTTTTAAAAAAATAATAAGAAATAAGCATAGAAAAATTGATTTAACAAGATAAAAGAGTCTATTGTTGTTGATCCAACTGTTCTTCAAACTCAAAGATTCAATCAGAAAATTATTGAAGATCATTTTTTTAAACTTAATTTGATGCAATAAGAAATTTTATATGACATGTTGCTTCTCTTGAACTAGTCAAACTTGTTTCAAACTTTGTTAATCTCTTCTAGTTTGACTAGCTTGACTTAATCATTCAGCAAAGTTGCATCATTTTACTGTATCTTGCCCCTTCATGTTCTAAAAAAATTTGTTTGTTTAGTTCATTTCTTTGAAGGCCAAGCTTTAGAATTCTTGTGTTCATGTTTTTTGGATTCATACAGTTTACACTTTTTTAAGCCTTTTGTTAACCGCTAACAACTGCTTTCTTGCATTTTAACAATATTCTTCTGGTAACTCCCAACTTAAAGTAGTTGTTTGTTGAAAATGTTTGCCTGAAACTTTGTTGGCAGTGAGTAGAATCTTATTTTACTCAAGTTTGTATACAATATTTTTATTTTTTATATATTATTGTATACAAAAATATATAAAAAATAATAAGATTTAACTCTTAACAACGCAATAAAAAAAATTTGATAGGAAAAAGCAGAGCAGCCTTTGAAGCTTTTACAGTATAAGTTATATCTTTTTTTCAGTTCAGTATTTTAACCTGACATTGAAGAGCATGAAGTTTTTGTTCTTAAAAAGCTAAAAACATTTTATGCTTTTTTTAATAAATCGATATGAAAGTTTAATTTAAACTTTGCTTACAGGTAAACTTCAGAAAGCAATTCAATATTCAGCCAAAAAGAAACTTTAAACAAAACATCAGATAATAATCTATCATTTAGCCCGAAAAAATTTTTAAAAAAACTTCACAAAGTTATCTAGCATCCTTCAATCAATATTATTAATTGTTAGGAAGCCAGAATACATAAATATAATCAATCATTAATGAAATCATTCAGCCAAAACAAAAACAAACAAAAAAACAAAAACAAAAAAAACGCTAGAATTTAAACCACAAATTCAAGTCAATTTTTTAAAAAAATGTTGAATTAAGTAAAAACTGAAAAAAGTATTGCAAATCTTGAACTTGAAAAAAGAAGAATTAAAAACTGAGAGAATATCATTTTTGGTCCAAGATGGAGAAAAAAGAGATAGGACTCCTGAGGAAAACAAAGTATGAACACTTTAAGAGAACTTACCTTTGAAAAAGGTTCTGGTTGTTTCTGTTAAAGTAATTAATCTCTGAAATTATTTCAATAAGAAGAATTAAAAACTGAAGAGCTGAATTATCAGTGATAAAAAATTATATAACAACAATTTACTTGAACTTGTTTTCTTAAAATCTACTTATTTTTTATTCTTTATTTATGAGTTTTTATGTTTGTTTGTTTGTTTTTCTTACTAATTTCGCTATTAAGTTTTTATTTTTTACCTCTTTATCAGTAAATTTATAAAAGTTCAAACCTGATTGCATATTAAATAAAATGTAAGAAACTCTAAAATTAAAAAAAACCTTGAAAACTTCTTTTCCAGGAGAAGTGTTTGTATTACTCAAAAAAATCACTAAAATAAACAAACATAATATATACATGAAGGTGTCCCAGAAAAAATATTTTCAATACAACTATGTGCACTATGGCATTCCTCCTTAAAATACCATAAAAATATCTGACCTCTAATACATTGTTTTGATGAAGAAAGTATTTTAGAAAAAAAAATAATGTCAACTGTGATGAGATAGCAGAATATTTTTACATTTTATGATTGAAACTCTTCTTTTGTAAAAAAATTGGCTATTTTTCAATATTATTAAATTAAATTGAAATACATTGTTCAATGCAGTAACTTTCATGTAATGGTTGCTTAACGTAACTTTAATAAATTTTCTCAATATTTAAACTTTTTATTACTATTGCATTGTTCTTTAACTTAAGTTTTTAAAAAAGATTATTAATTATAAAGCTTCAATAGTGTAATGCAAGAATTACTTAATTTTTGTAAGAAAAACAGATTTCAAAAACAAACAAAATATTTTGTAAAAAAAATATTTCTTTATTTAAACCTTCTTTAAGTATTGTTTTGTGCATGTAACAAACCTTTTCCCAGTTGTCTAAAACTACCATCATTGAGTCTTGAAACAAGTGTTATGAATGTATTTTGTCTATGAAATTCACCACTACTTTGATGTGTCTTTCAGCCCTATCATTAGCTACTTCTAGTTGATGTACACTGTACACTCATATTTTAAAGAATTTTTTTTTAAACTTTCCTCTGAGATTCTTTCTTCCATGAGAGAATATCATTTTTGGTCATACCAAGATGGAGAAAAAAGAGATAGGACTCCTGAGGAAAACAAAGTATGAACAATTTAAGAGAACTTACCTTTGAAGAAGGTTCTGGTTGTTTCTGTTAAAGTAATTAATCTCTGAAACATCATATTTCAATAGTTGCACAACAATATCCATCCTCTTTTCGCCCTCCAAGCATTGGTTACCTAAAGCAAAGATAACAGACTGTGGAGTGAAATATGAAGTGTGTCTGAAAGCTTTACCAATTTTTTCATACTCCTTGGAATAAAGCGAATCTATTGTAATCTTTTAAAATTTCTTGAATGCTCTAGTGGACTCTTCAGGAAGAACAAATAGTGAAAAACCATCTGTTGCACACTATACTATACAACCTGTTGCATCTTGTAATCTGTACCTGTAAATCTTGTAATCTGTATTCTGTAAGTCTGAATCTCAATGACACTGCTTGTTGTAATTCCTGGTAATTTGTATTGCTAACAAATACAATGAGCCAGCCACAAATCTTTTTTCATTGTGCGCACCAAGTTGTAGAAAACTGAAGTTTTGCAAATAGTAAAAGGTAAAACCCAACCAGTTAAAAAAAGTAAAAAGGTTAACAAAAGTGAAAACTTTTTGACAAAGTAAAAAGTTGACAAAAATATTTGTAATTACTTTAGTCAAGCATTTTGTTTCAAGAGCCGTTTTGTAGAATCTTCTTTAGTTCAGTTGCAAGATTGTAAAAGAGAATTACACAAGCAAACTCAAGTTTGTTCTAATCCAATTTCTCAATGTCACAGTGTATTCACACCCTTTTCATTCTTAAGGGTTGACTGTGCCCCATATCCATAACATGTATGCGTAAAGCGCATCTTGGAAGCTTTTATTCCTTCTGGAATAAAAGTTTAAAAGCTTTTATTCCTTCTCTTCAATTTTAAGTCAAGCCTTATTCTACTCCACATTTTTCACCATTTTGACCAGTGACTTTATTAAATTTTAATCATTTTTTTACATCTTTTTTACAAGAACATCTCTCTTAAGAACAAATGTCCTTTTATTATTCCAAGAAGCCTATATAAAAAGGTCTTGTCTGACGTTAAGCTCTGTTATTTTTAGTTTACTAAATCTTGTATCTTATCTCAGATCTTAGGTTCTAGGACTTACGGTTACTCTTCATTAACTAAAGTAAGCCTAACATTTAATCTTTAATTCATGATTCTGATCTTTTTACTTCTATCCAGAATAAAGCAGAGTTGTTTGCAAGAATTCTTATTGAAAAATTTTGTCATTTTTACTTCCACTCTGCACTGTTTCACCAGCTTTGTGTCAAAGAAAAGAACAAGTTCAAAATCTCTAATCTTATCCAGGTTTTGCTCTCTTATTTTAAGTACTTTGCAATATCATATCTTTGCAATATCGTAGTTTTTTTATGGCCATCTAGGACTAGGAAATGTTCAACATGCCAACATCTATCTACCACGACAACATAGAATAGTCACATCAACATTGCTCTCATACTAACTTGATACCTAAGAAAAAGCAGTCATTTTTTAAATGATGTAACATTTAAATCATTTTTCTTGAAAATTTTGTATTTATATTTGTTGTATTTTTTTCTAGTAAAAGTCTCTTAAGTCTGAATCTTGATTTGTTCCACTGTATTCACTGGAAAATTCTGGCTTAAAGTTGCTCAGAGCTTTTTGTTCTGCTGGTTTTTAGAGTAATTGAAATGCTCTCTTTTGGTTTTTAGAGTTGTTCTCAAGATTTTATCTCAATCTCAATCATCTTTCTCTGCAGATTTCTAATCTTCTTATCTCATCTCATCTTTTCAGCAGATGTTTTGTCATAACTGCAGGATATCTTGCCCATGTTCTCTTTCAAATATCTCTTCAAGAAAATAGATTCCTCCTTTACAGCCTTTTTACTTATTCTAGAATTCTGGCTAACAAATTTAAAATTGTCTTCCTATAAAAAACAAAATACTAGTCTTGTCTAAGAATTCTTGAGTGTGCTGGCTCACTCATTTCCAGGGTTTTCATCATAGTTTTAGCATAATGAGTATGCAGAGCAATTATTCTATTCATAAATCAATAATATCTTCAAAAATAATGACAAAATTATATATTGAATATACTATGAAAATTATTATTTCACAGAATACTTAATTTCATGACGAAAGATTTATTTATCAATATTCACTCATTTAATTAAATATTTCACTAATGACAGTCTTTATCAAAGTATGTTTGCCATATTCTAAATGATAACCAGCTCCCTTATGATGCAGTTTTTGCTATCATCATAATACATACTACCTCCACATTTAAGCCATACTTGCCAGAGGACATCCATTTTTAGAATGCAATGTTTTGATTGCAGTTGCATAACTCCTGTTAAGCCACTAAATTCTGCAACATATTTCTCCACCAGTTGGAAATCTATTTGGAGAACCCCCTCACAACAGCAAATATTGTATTATGTTAAGCAACAATGAGAATGCAAAACTGTACATTTTTTAATACTGTAGCACTATAAATTAAAGTGAAAAAATTAAAAGACTTTCACTTTGTCTTTTAAATGTCAGAATAAGTTGTTCATCATTTTCTATTTGATGAACAACTGATTTCCACATGTTTATCATATGATTTTATACTTTGTCAATTAAAATTACAAATAGTAATTGTAATAGTTTGGTTTGATAGATAAAAACTTTTTATTGCAACAATAAAATTATCACTAAATTGATAATAAAATATATTATGTAAAAGTTGTCATTTTAAAATAATTAAAATTATAATTAAAAATATATAACTTATATAGTATAAAGTAGTGTAGTTTAACTAACACCTAACATGGTAATAGAAGCAAATTTATATAAAAAAAGTTATTTCTAAATATAAAATATTGAGTTCTTAAAATATCCTACAATCTCATCACAATTTATATGATTTTTTTCTCTAAGACATTGTTTTGCTAAAACACCTATTTTAGCGAAACAATGTCTTAGAGACCAGATACTTTTAGCAAAACAATGTCTTAGAGATACTTTTATGTAAGCTACTGAGACCTGATAAGGAGGATTGGCATAGTGCGCATAATTTTATCAATTTTTTTTTCTGCAACACCCTAATACACATATAGAAAATTACTAAAATAAAAAATCAATAAATATTAAAATAAAATTACTATTTATTTACTATATATAAATTTATTTCTTTAATTTACTTTTTTTTTAAATACTAATGACTAATTAATACTAATTTATAATTAATACTAATGAAAATAATAATAACATATATAAAATGATTTCAACTGAAGTTTCTATTTTATAATTTTAAAAAATGTGAAAAAAAATATATATATATTAAAATGAATTACCTGCTGACATTTTTCCAAGCCAAGAGGAAGTGAAAAGCCAGGGAGCAGTGGACATATAGGATTTTTCATATAACTTTTCTATTAAATCTGAAAGTCTTATATTAATAAATGTTAAAGTAAATATAATATTTAACTTTAGAGGAGTTTCTTTGTCAAAACTCTTGTGAGTTTTTTGTGATTGAGAAATCCCAGAAGAACTTCTTTTGTAAACTTGGTCTTCATTTGTTATGTTTAAAAGTTTATTTTGAACAGTATGGTTATTAAATAAAATATCTGTGGCAACTTTATTTAGACCAGACCTTTTTACAGTAGCCAAACTATTACCTTCTAAATTATTTTGAGGTTCATCTTCATCATCTAAATGAAAACTAGTTTCTTCAAGTTCTTCTAACTCTTTTGAAAACTCTGTATCAATTGAATCACTTATTAGATTTTCATGATGAGCAGTATTATCGGAAAGTTCATCTTTGTTTTTTTTTGTACCTTCGAAAGGAAGCTTTTGAAACTCCTTCATAATGTATGGCACCTTTATAACAGTTTCTACTGAATCATCTTTGTTTTTTCTAAAAGTTGAAATATTTGATTGTTGTGGTGATTGAGTAAACAGTCCTTGTGTTTGTACTATTTCTTTACCAGATTCTTGTGTTTGTTCTATTTCATTACCAGATGAATTTTGAATGGGTTGTAACATTTGGTTTTCTTTACTAAAAAATGATGGACGAAAAAAATGATAAGCATTTTTTGATAAAACTTTATTATTCACAGTATTTTTCATTTTTTCACTATTTTCTTTATCGATGTTATGATTTTTTTTGTTAATTCGTAAAGACCCATTATCTAACTTAGAATTAACATATTTCAACATTTTCTCAATTTGTTCTTCATTCAATACATTGTTTTCTGCATTGTTCTTTTTAATCAATGAAATTTTTGATCCATTTAAAAATTTAGGTTTCAAGGAATGGTTTGAATGAAAATATAACTTTTCTTTTTTTGGTGGTGCTTTATTTTTGCTCTCTTTTTTTAAAAATTCTGTTTTGTGCTGCCAAGGAACATGGTCTGTTTTGTGTTGCCAAATAATACAGTCTATTTGAATGGTTAAGCCATAAAAAAAAGCAGTGGCACTTAATCTACAATACAAAGATAAATATAACAGAATAATTTATTAAATATGACTTATAGAAAGAGCATAATCTATAGAAACAGCCTCAAAATTAAATAAAAATCGAAATGAGAGATAAACATGCATATATATGTATATACATACATAGATATATATATATATATATATATATATATATATATATATATATATATATATATATATATATATATATATATATATATATATATATATATATATATATATATATATATATATATATATATATATATTTGAAAAAACCATAAAATGTATAATACTTGATATTTGAGGTAACAGATAGAATTAGCCTCATCAATAATTATTTTCAGTTTACTTGTATATTTTGATCTGGTGATATGTATTTGTGAAGTTTAATACATTGTTTTCTGCATTGTTTTTGATACCTTAATTTGAAATGGGACGTGGTAAGCGTTTAATGAACAAATAATTAGCAGTAATCAAAACATACAAACATACAGACTTATTTAATTGGGAAATTGCAAAGAAAATTAAAAGATCTCCAATAGTGGTTAATAATTACTTCAAGATTGGCGTTAACTATGAAGCTTATAAGGGAAGTGGTGGCAAACATAAAATTGATAATCATACTAAACAAGTTATTGTACATCACGCTGCTGCTCAGCACATGACTGCATCTCAAATTCGTGCTGATTTATAATTACCTGTATCTGTTCAACGCATGAGACAAATCTTACATGAAGATCCAAACACAGTTTAGAAAAAGCGTAAACAAAAACCAAAACTTACTGCTCGTCATAAAGTAGTTATATTACAATTTGCAAAAGAACACATGTCTCAGCGGGAAGAGTGGCATCAAGTTCTCTTTAGTGATGAAAAAAAGTTTATTCTAGATGGTCCTGATGGCTATCAATATTACTGGCTTCGAAAAGTGAAAGAAACTTGGATGAGTCGCAACTTTAGTGGTGGAACTGTTATGGTTTGGGGGGCTTTTTCCTTTGCTGGAAAACTTTTACTGGCATGAATTTCAAAAAAAATGAATTCACAGGACTAAACTATATATATATATATATATATATATATATATATATATATATATATATATATATATATATATATATATATATATATATATATATATATATATATATATATATATATATATATTTATTAGGGATATGACTTTTTAAAAAAAAATTTCCCTGGCCCAAAAATGGATGAGTTTTTACGCATAAAATGCAAAAATATTAATACTTTCACGATGTTCAAAAAAAATGTCACGCCCCAAAGCACATTAAGATTTGAAAAGGTTTTAAAAAAATTAATGACCAAAATCATTTCTATTTGCAAACATGTTCATTCATATGATTCTATAAAAAAACATAATTTATTCTAACAATTAATACATGGCATAGTGTTATATTCAATGCAGGAAAAAACATTTTTTACAATTTAAATTTTTTTTTTTTTTTTTTTTTTTTTTTTAACATCTTCACTTCCAACAAGGCTGCAAGCAACCACTATAAGAGTTGGAAGTTACTGGAAGAGAAAAGACTAAATCTGTAGAGCAAGATAACGATTGACTGATGACTTAAAGGATTGCAAATTATATGAATCAGGAAAGCAAGATGAAGGAAGCGAATTCCAAAGAACTGATGTTCGAGGAAAAAAACTAGAAGAATAAGAGTTTTTGAAGCACTTAGGAACAGTCACAGAAAAAGGATGAGACTTAATTGAATGGCGAGTAACACGAGAATGAATTTTAGTAGATGGCACAAGGGACGCTAGCTCTTTAGAGCAGTGCCCATTATAGTATTTGTAGAAAAGAGAAAGAGAAGCAACATTACGACGATGTGACAAAGGTTGGAGATTGGCTGCCAGAGCAGGTCCAACTATGTTTACAATTCGTTTTTGCACCTTGTCTAAAAGAGAAAGAGCATCATTAGAAGATCCGCCCCAGATGTGGCAACAGTATTCCATACAGGGACGGATTTGAGATTTATAGAGATAGAGAATAGAATCTGGAGTAAGAAAGTGTCGAGCTCGATAAAGAGATGCAACCTTAGCAGATGCTAATTTTGCAATGGATTTGATATACGGTTTAAAAGAAAGATCAGAAGTAAGAGTTAATCCTAGAAGATGAATGGTAGATGACTCATCTAGTACATTACCATTCATAAATATAGGAAGATCTAAATTATTATGATAACGATTGGCCGAATAAAATTGAGTTTTATCTGAATTAAAGTTCACCAGCCACTGTGAGCCCCATGCTGTAGCAGAAGTGAGATCCTTTTCAAGCTCAGATACCCCCTCCAAGCAATCAGAGAGTGTAGGCTTCTTATCATGACAAGAGTAAATGGTAGTGTCGTCAGCGAATAATGCCACCTTAGATGTGAGAATATCTGGAAGATCGTTAATGTAAATTAAAAAGAGTATAGGGCCAAGGATTGAACCTTGAGGAACCCCTGAAGTTACAGGATGTGAAGAAGAGTGTTGTCCATCGAGGACAACTTTTATACTACGATTGGAAAGAAAGGACTCAATAATCTTAAAGACGTTACCAGCTACACCATAAGAAGAAAGCTTATGGAGAAGACCAGCATGCCAAACTTTATCAAAAACTTTAGAAATGTCAAGTGCGATAGCCTTAACCTCTCCACCTCTATCTAATGCACGGTAAAACCTATCGGTTATTACTGTTAGCACATCAGTTGTAGAACGAGAAGACCGAAATCCATATTGATGGTCAGAAAGTAAGTTATTTGATTCAAGATGAGAGATTAAGTGTTTGTTAATTAAAGATTCAAAAACCTTGCTTATGATAGGAAGAAGACTAATGGGACGGTAGTTAGATGAATCAGATCGCTCTCCGGAATTTTTGAAAATAGGGATAACAGATGCTGCTTTCCAGCATGATGGAAAACAAGACTCTGATAAGCACTTGTTAAATAGTTTAGAAAGTATGGATGAAAGCTCCGGAGAACACCTCTGCAAAACTACAACAGGAATGTTGTCAGGACCACAAGCTGTTGAAGAGTCTAAGCAGGAAATTACTTTAGATACAGAAGCTGAAGTGATGCGAATGTCAAGCAAGGGATCAACCTGTTTGACGGCTATGTCAGGTAAAATGCAACTAGTGGAATCAAGAGATGATATTGATGAAAAGTTCTTAGCAAACAATTCAGCTTTGTCTTTAGGTGAGGTGACAAAGTCTGAACCATACAAGAGAGAAGGAATAACAGATTTGCCCTTATTATTGATACTGTTAAAGATTCTCCAGAAGTCTCGAGAGCCTAATTTTTGTGATGAGATACGAGATTTAATGACCTGGGAATAGCGAGCTTTGGCGTCAGACAAAACCTTTTTACAATGGTTTCTGGCGATAGTGAACAGATGTCTGTTTTCTGGAGAATTGTTTTGCTGATAGATATGGAAGTAACGGTTTCGATTAGAAATTGCTGCAGCGCAATGTGAGGAAAACCAAGGAGAAGAGTGAGGCTTGACCTGGAATCGTCGAGAGGGAATAAAAGATTCCATGCCAGCCTGAATCCACGAAGTTATGTAAGAAGCACATTTGTCAGCAGGAAGACGAAAGATTTCTACCCAAGGGCCATCACGAAGAAAATCACGGAAAGAGTCCCAGTCAGCTTTAAGGTAGTTGTATGTGGTACGATGATAGGGGGATTCTGATGAAGTAGAAGAATTTGATAATAGTTTTAGAGAGATCAAACCGTGATCAGAAGTACCTAAGGGTGAATGTGGAGAAATTGAGCACTGACTAGGATCCAAAACAAGACATAAGTCGAGTAGAGAAGGTAAATGATTAGGGTTGTCTGCAAAACGAGTTGGAAAGTTGACTATTTGAGTTAGAGATTGAGAAAGGCAAAAGTTGAGGGCCTTAACGCCAGCAGAGTCACTGACACTAGAGCCAAGCCAATCGGTGTGATGGGCATTAAAGTCACCAACAACGACGATATTGGCCAATGGATAAAGAGAGAGGGCTCGGTCAATTTGATCAGAAATAACATCAAGAATAGTGCAATCTTGGGATGAAGGAGAGCGATATAGAACAAAGAGAAAGGCGATAGAGTGAAGTTGTGCTAAACGAAAGCACATAAATGAATAGTCTGTAGATTCAAACCTAGTTTCACGACAAATGGGTAAGTTCTTACGAATGTAGATGCCCAGGCCAAGCATGTGATTATTGGAGTCTTTACGAATTAAAGGAAGATAACCATCAACACTAAGATCACAAGATGGGACAGCCGAACTCAAATTAGTCTCACAAAGAGCAAGTAGGTCTGGTGAACTTTGCAAGAGATAAGACTCAACAGAAGAAAAGTTACTTCGAAGACCACGAATATTAGTAAATGATAGGTTTAGAGAACTTGGTGATGACGATGGTTTTTTGTGTTTTTTAGTTTTACGTACTTTAGTCATTTTAAATTTATAAAGAACTTGACTCACGTATAGATAGTACTCAGTACACTATTTAACAACTAAGCAATAGCCTCATTACTATTAATAAACCTTAAGCCGTAACAAAGGGCTCCAAATGTGGCCTCTGCAATGCACACCAAAAGTACAAACAGGGACACCATCCATGCGCAACATGGCACTGTTAGTACTCTGATATTTTTCGGCTGTTGATGGAATCAGCCTCTCTGAGAGCTACCACAGAGTTCGGGAAACCTGACTACCAGCCGGCCTCAGAACCATAAAACTGAGTTTTAGAGCTGTACCCTCATTAGGAGATAATAGAATGAGTTGCCCAGTCATAAAAATAGAGACAAAAGCAATACCCACGCATTGAGTCAAGAAGATCCAGCGTTCAACATCCTAAACTGGAAACAATGTATTAAGAATACATCTGCGCCAGCCTAATAGATGAGGAAGGGGTGCGAGGCTGGTCAACAGATAGAATCTGTTTACCCCTTAAGTCTTTGCCTAGGAGGCCTTCTACAAGACAGCAACTGGATGCATGTAACATCTGCCCAAGATGAG